GACTCAACAAAATAGCATTTCGTTCATAAAATAAAGTGATGTGAGAAAGAGAAATATATTGAATGTTCTTTGAGTTTTGTACAACGGCAATTTCGAGAAGTAGCATCGTATTTATTAGAATCATCATTTGTAGATAATTGTGTAACTAGCTTGCGTGGTGTTCACGAACTTTAACAGTTGATAAGAAAATTTCAAATTATCTTTAGTTTCGCAAAATTTTATCTTTACGGTTGGAAGTCGAATACTTTTCTCTATCTATCTCTGAAATCATCTCGTTTGAAAAAAATGAGACATTATGAAAAAACAAAGATTACCAGCCATAACACCGGATCGAAATTCCATTAAAGCCATCGATACTGCTGACTTGCTGTTCGAAGAATCACATGAGTAAAACCAGTCCAGAGACTCGGATCTTAATTTTTGGGAACATCTTTAATTCTACGTAGGCTGTTCAGTAAGTAATAAGACTAATTTTACTGCAGCAAAACCACTCATCGGAATGTTAATTTCTGTGGCGTAAGAAAAATTTGTTGTTTGTATTAACAAAAACTGCCGATAGATTCCTTGTACAGACTCGTATTCTTGAGTATCACGTGATTGAACTGAAGCGTGTTTGTGGGCGCCTACGAGACGCGGCCAGTTGTCGAAATGGAAGCAAAAATCTGCAAAAATCAGCCTCTGAGACCTTTGATATGATACGATATGATTAAAGACTGGAACAAGAAGGCAACAATATTTCAAAAAGCTTTATCACAGCAGACGAAGCTTAGTTGTATTACTATGATCCAACCATAAAACAACAAAGCAGTGAATGGAAACATCCATCTTCACTACTCCCAAGAAGGCAAAAATTGTGAAATCGGCTGGTAGAGTTACGACCACAATATTTTTTATTATGAAGGAATTGTGTATCTACACGCTATCGAACCCGGTACTACCGTAAATGACTCGTACTACGTGAATGTCCTGCGAACAACGGTACAGCACGTTAGAAAGAAACGTTCATTGCTTCGAAATGGCTTCCTATTACACCATGACAATGCTCGACCACATATTGCTCATTGGGTACTGGGTGTTTCGCAGTAGAACAAAGTAGAGATTTTACCTCACCCTTCATACAGTCCTGATCTCACTCCATGCGATTTCTGGCTGTTTACTCAACTTAAGAAACCATTACGAGGCAAACATTCTGCAAGCAACAAAGCATGAGTAATGGCTGCGGAGGCGATTTTGCAACAGCTCTCACTAAACGGACTTTTACATGTTTTTAAGTGGACAGAACTTTGG